TGTCAAAATATTTTTTTGTCATTTTAAACCTGCAGAAGGCTTGAAGTTCATTAGCTGACGAGGCGAATGCTAACAGTAGGAAAAGGCTAACTGAAGGCTAAAGTAGTAAAAAAGTTATAACAGAAGTTCAAATAAAAACATTTATTGTCCCGCAGCAGTTATACACCAATCCACAGAAACTGTATATTTCTGTGACATTATCAAATAGTTTTTTTATAGTGAAATCAAATGTTTTTTTCATAAAAATATATATTTAAATTTCAGTTTTTTTAAAAAAATAAACCAAATCAATAAATTTTCTTCCTGTTTTCATGTTGTTTCTGTAGATCCATAAACCCAGTCTGCCATCTAGTGGTCAGACTGGAGAAACTCATGAAGTTTTATTTGTGTTTTTAAAGTTTACCTTTTTTATTTGATTTTTCCATAACTTTAAAATGTGATTATTTTCAAACTGAGGATAAACGAAAGAAGCTCCTGTTTGTTAAAGTTTTAAACAAATGTGTGACGTTAGCGCCTGAAGTTTAGCTCATAATCTGACCAAATTTTAGCCGTTTTGATGTTTAACGAATCTGGAATTGATCACGAGTTTTAGTCGTAAGAGTTTTGTTAAAATCGGTGTTTCGTGAGATATTTTGCTAACACGCTCATCATGGCAGCCGACGTCCGCGGTGAAATCAGAATAAATGTTCAAGAATTTGTTTTATTCTGATTATAATTTACTGTCGGTTGAGATTAAAGAGAAATAAAAGCTCTCAAACAGAAGCTGTTGGAATAATTTATTATTTTGTGTCTTAAGCTTCGTGTTCGGATCATCTCGGCTCGGTTCTGAGGACCAGACATAAGGTTCAACTGACCGGAGACAACAGTATGGTTTCACCAGCAGARCATCTCAACAAAAAGAGGTTTGTTTGTTTGTTTGTTTGCTCACGGTCCGACCCGCTCCACAGACGGTTCTGATGTGACGGAACCAAGAACTCGTGTGAGTCCCAGTTTATTTTATCTGAAGTTCAGTTATCAGGATAAAAACTGATCTGGTTAACTCCCTGACACTCAGCGAACACAGGTGTCCAAAATCCTGCATCAGTATTCTGAGGTGGTTCTCTGAGAGGGTTGTGAAGAACAAGTATCTTACCTGTTGTAGATCGGATCAGGTTTCAGCTGTTTACCTGCTTTAACACACCTGAGTTGAGTAAATGAAACCTCAGAATGTCATCAAATGTAGACGTCTGTCGTTTACTTCAGGTGTGTTGAAGCAGGTARCAGCTGAAGGTCCTGCTTTTAGTTTTAACGTGATAATAAAATAAAGAATAAAGAACTAAAAGGTTTAAATGTGAGATGATAAATCAGAAGAAAATGAGGTGAAAAAAAAGAAAAAGAAAAATACAAATCATTCATATTTTATTAAACTCTTACAATCCATTTGAATAAATGATCGTTTAATTTAACAGGAAATGTGCTAAAAAAATAAAAGAAATAATATCTGCTTGTTACATGTTTTAGGTCTCAAATTTAAATAAAATCAAACATCCTGAACCCCACGTTGAATGAAACAGAAAATTCAATTAAATAAATAACAAAAAGATAGATCTGGAGCTAACTCCAACGTTTTCCAGCTTTACGTCGGTTCGCTGGCTGCTTTTATTTATTTATTTATTTATTTATTTATTTCAAACACAAACTGATGAAAGCTGGAGGGAATCTTTCTGATTTCAGTCTTATTTAGCTCCAGGTGGAGCAAAAACAAAATCAGCCGAGGAGGGAAGGAGCAGAAACATGGTCGCAGACGAAACGCTGAGTCGGCGAGAATTTGAGTGATAAAAATAAAAACATTTCCTTCAGGAAAACAAACTTAGTTTTAAAACAGCAGCACAAATCAGACACGCCTCAGATTAATTTCATGTTAAATCTGGTGGATTAGATTAAATCCCTGCAGGGAATGCCCATCACCCAACAGTTTCAGTTACAGTTAGTGATGTGWTGGAGGTCACCCTCAGCTACTACCACAACAAACTTCAGCTCATTATCTGACTGAGTTGTCGTCTTTTTCCTGTTTGCTAAGATCAATCAGCTGCGGCGGCCATTTTTAATCAGGCCAGCAGCTGCAGAAGCTCATCCAACAGTAACTCAGAGGATCAGAACTAGAGTCACGGCTGAAGTTCAGCCCAGATTCATCCAAACATTTCTAATAAATATTTATTTGTCTGTTTGGTCGTTCCTCTAACTGCAGGTCACCTTATTTAAACCAGAAAACAACCAAACATCTACTGTTGTTCCTCAAACCGACCAGCATCTTTAGTGTCAGAACCAGAACCGGCTGCAGGGACAAACGACTCAGGACCAGGAGGAGCTGSTCTGGGTTTCCCTCCTGGACCCGTCCACAGAATCAGAACCACTCAGCTGCCACTCCACGTCTGTAAACTACTAAAAAAATAACTAAAAGTAAAATTACATGAACAGAAAATGACTTTGGTAAAAATAAATTTCACTGATGAGAAAACGACTCAAGTAAAAGTCATAAAACTGTTCACAAAAACTGGGAAAGTAAAAGTACTTTTACACACTCTCTAAGAAATAAACTGTTGAATTTACTGARCCAAACTGGTTCCAGTAAACCAGGTTGAGTAAACTGATCAATATTTTTATATTCTTTGTTCAGTTTACTCATCCAGGCTCAGTGGAACCAGCTGACGTGACTTTGACTAAATCCAACTCTTCATTTTTAGAGCAGAAACATCTTTCATGAGTTTAAACAGATTTTATTTGTAATGAGGTTTTACATTTTAAAGTAAAGAAGTAAAAGGATCATTTTTAGCTTTAAAATGTAACAAAATAAAAGTAAAAGTAGCTATTTCAAAAAAATAATTGGTAAAATTACAAATCCTCAAAAAAAACTATTAAGTAGTGACTATAAACCTCTGTGTCACTCAAATGGTGGAAAATTTACACGAAAATTAGCAAATTTCATCCCAGTTTCCTTCAATCCTGAGTGTTTAGGACCAGAGAGCCTTACAGCTGATTTTTAAACTCTAAACTGTACATTTACTGAGCCTCCTTGGTAAACAGTACTCTATTTATTACTTTGTAAATCTTCGACAAAATCCACTAAAAATAGGATTAAACCAGTTTTCCAGTGGTTATTCTGATTAACGAGACAAATTAATCCAAACATCTGGAATCACTCCTGATAAGTACGATCCAGTTTAAAAAGTCGCTTCAAAAGTCAAGAATCTCAAGATGTGATTTTTTTTTTTTTTAGTTTGACCAAATCATTTCTGATTTGTTGCAGATTTAAAATAAAACGGTTCTTCATTTCAAAACGGTTTTCTTGTGGACATAAAGGCCACTCTAAAGCAGAATGAGGCGGAGCTAAAGAAGGCTGGGGCGGGGCTAAATCAGACTAGGTGGAGCTAAAACACGCTGGGGCGGGGCTAAAGCAGGAGGAGTGCATCTGAATCAGTCTGAGGAGGATCTAAAGTAGACTGGGCGGGGCTAAAATAGGCTGGGGCGGGGCTAAAGCAGGACAATGTATCTGAATCAGTTTAATCGGATCTAATTAGGCCAGGTTTGATGTGGACGATGAAATAACGAGCTAAACTATAGAAAAATGAGCMGTGACTGGTCACAATCAATCAAATCAGTGAGACTTCAACTGAAACTAAGCAAACTTTCTCACAGTTTGGAGTCACCAAACGTCCTCYGACAGCCACAGCCTGATGAGACCCCAGCTGTAGAAGAACTACGTCTCAGTGGAGGTCTCCGTCGGGTGTTTTCTGGTTTGTTTTCATACGTCGACACGGTCAGCGAACAACGACCGAAACAAGCTCCGCCTCTCAAACCTAAATGAGCCCAAATGAACGTCCAATCACAATGATCCCGTCAAACACAAGGAGGTATGAGTGTCGACTGAACTGCTTTAACAAAAAGTTCCGTTTAAACCTGTACGAGCATCTGTAGCACCATTTCAACAAAACTACATTTAATATGTACATCTGGACTCATTTTACATTCAACATTTCATTTATGTTGCTTTTGTTGTCTTTGGTCTCAGCCTCCTTCAGAAAATAAAACAACAGAAACAGGATGATGATGATGATGATGAAGAAACCAACAGAAAAGGAGGAATGAAGGTGATTTTTACTGAGTGAATCCAGAAACGGTTCATTTCAGAAACCAAAACGACAAACTTCCCAAACCTGAGCTGCAGCAACACGTCTGTTTTTTAAATTTTAACAGCTTATTTAAGAACAAATCGAGTATCCGATCACTCTAAAGAAGCAACGAGCAGAATCAGTGAAGTAACGAGTTTTAAATAGTGTTTAAAACATGTTTTAAAAGAGCAGATTTTCAGAGAGCAGCCTCCCAGGAGTACCTGTCACCACCGTTTGATCCCTACACATTCATGAGTTCAGCTGCTGAGTTTAGCTGCCTGCTCCTTCTCCAACTTCTCTTTAGCCTTTTCCTTCTCCATCAGCTTCTCCTCCTTCTGCACCATCGCCAAGATGTCCGCCACCTGCGAGGTTGCGATGTCGATGTCCTCTTTGTCGATCAGCTCCACCACCTGAGAGAAACCCAACAATCATCAGCTGATATTCTGAGGCAGGAACTGAGGAGATGTGAAAACGGTGGAGTCAGACGGTCTGTGTGAGTCAGAAGATGGTAACGATCGTGTGATGCAGTAAAAACTGCCTGTTCGTGTGCGTTCTGGGCTTACTTTGATGACATCATCGATGTCAATCTTCCCGTCTTTGTTTTCGTCGAGGGTCTCGGCGATCCGCTGCAGCTTGTCCTCGGGAATGTTCTGGATCTGCCGCATGATGCCGATGAGCTCGTCCATGCCGACCAGGTTCTCCCTGAAGGTGCGGAAAGAACTGCATACAGGAAACGGTTACCAGGTTTGACGGGGCGGAGCGATCTGAGATTTTACTGGATGTCTTTACTCCACGCCACCGCCAGCAGGGGGCGCTCTCATTAATTCTACATGTTACACAACAGAGATTTCTCCTCTGCATCAAGTCCAGCACATCTGTTCACTTTGTACTTGTGCTTTTATTATGTAAGATTCAAAATTCAGATTTCCTGCTTTTTACTTTATTTTGAAGCATTTTTAATAATCTGTTTCTGCAGAATTTGTGCTTTTTTTATATCAAAACCTCAGCTCGTTCAGTGCTGGTGCTCTGACTTTTAAAAATGTTATAGTTTTTACAGTATTTAACTGATTTTACAACTTTTTGTTTCATAAAAATACAGTTTTAGTTTTTCAAAAAATATTTTTCTCAGAAATCTGCTTCAGCTGCAGGCTCTAATTGTGTTTTAAATGCTACTTTTAGCTGCCGTTCTGCTACTTWTCTTAATAATTTTAGCTTTTATCTAGACTTTTTTAGCTTTAGCATTTAGCTAGTCAACACTATTTTTTGCTTTTAGCAAACGTTCTGATGCTTTTAGCTTCCATCTGAAATGTTGGATAGATACTAGCTAACCTTCTTGTACATCTAGCTTTTAGTCAGGTTTTTGTCACTTTTAGCTACTTTTCGATTTCAGCTAATCTTTTGATATTTTTAGCTTCAAGCTAACATTTTGATACATTTAGATGCTAGCTGACATTATGATACTTTGAGCTTCAAGCTAACATTTTGATAATTCTAGCTTCTAGCTAACCTTTTGTTACTTTTAGCATCTAGCTAACCTTTTGTTACTTTTAGCATCTAGCTAACCTTTTGGTACTTTTAGCTTCTAGCCAACCTTTTGTTACTTTTAGCTTCTAACTAATCTTTTGATGCTTTTAGATGCTAGCTAATCTTTTGATACTTTGAGCTTCAAGCTAACATTTTGATGCTTCTAGCTAACCTTTTGGTACTTTTAGCTTCTAGCTAACCTTTTGGTACTTTTAGCTTCTAGCTAACCTTTTGGTGCTTTTAGCTTCTAGCTAACCTTTTGGTGCTTTTAGCTTCTAGCTAACCTTTTGGTACTTTTAGCTTCTAGCTAACCTTTTGGTACTTTTAGCTTCTAGCTAACCTTTTGGTGCTTTTAGCTTCTAGCTAACCTTTTGGTGCTTTTAGCTTCTAGCTAACCTTTTGGTACTTTTAGCTTCTAGCTAACCTTTTGGTACTTTTAGCTTCTAGCTAACCTTTTGGTACTTTTAGATGCTAGCTAATCTACTGATGCTTTTAGATGCTAGCTAATCTTTTGGTGCTTTTAGCTTCTAGCCAACCTTTTGGTACTTTTGGCTAGCTAGCTAGCTAACATTTCGGTACTTTTCGACTTTTACCTAACCGTTTGGTATGTATGTTTTAGCCAGGTTTTTGTCCTTTTGTTACTTTTTAGTCAGTCTTTTGATCCTTTTAGCCTTTAGCTAACTTTTAGTACTTTTCGAGTCTAGCTTGACTTTTAGCCATCGTTCTGACACTTTGAGCTACGCTTCTGATGCTTTCAGATTCTAACTAGCATTTTGATACTTTTAGATTTGACTATGATTTTGTTTACCTAATATTTTGAGATTTTATCTAAAATGTCCTTTGCTTTCCTCGTGGTTTTTGGACGTAGAACGACCTGAAGTCAATTAAAACAATAAATCTTCGTACCTGACGGGGGGCGTGGCTCCACTGTCCACCTGTCCGTCCAGGACGACCTTGTCCTTCTCCAGCTCCAGGATGATCTTGTCGATGCGACTGATCATCCGGGTCACCCTCTTCGACAGACGCTTGCTGGCCTTCGACTCCTCCAGAGACTTCTCTTGACCCGTCTTAGAAAACTCGCTCTTCATCTCCTCCAAGTCCTGGAACGTTAAAGCTCATTTAAAGGATATTTATCACAGACGATGGTGTAAAGATCGAGTAAAAAACACTAGAAGCGTATCATATACAGTAAATAAATGCAGGCACCTCGCTGTACTCCTGAACATCGTCTTTMAGCTCCTCCAGCTCTTCTTTCTCCAGAGTCAGAAGTTTCTTCTGCTCCTTCAGCTTTGAAAAGGCGTCACTCAACAGGTCAATCTCTTCTTTAGTGATCTCCTCATCCTAGAAAATAAAATAAAATATAAACAAATGTTTTAAACATGAAAAACAGAAAAGAAAGGCTAAAAATATAAACTTGACCACTGCAGGGATGAACTGCTGTGAGGAGGAGGACTTGTGGTGAAGAGAGTCAGAGAAACAAATACTGGAAGCTACGGAAGGAAGGATGTGAGGAGTTCAAAGAGAAGAAGACAGGAGACAGATCTGGACAGCAGAGGAGGGACAGTGGGTATGCTGGTAGAAGAATGTTAGAGATACAGATAAAGAAGACATGGAGGACAGAGGACAGAGTGGGGGAGGACAGCTCACTGTGGACACCCTGAGGAGGAACAGCCTAAAGAAGAACATTAATCTGTGTAATAATGAAGCTAACCTGGAAGTGCAGAGCAGGCTGCCGCTGTTTAAAGTCATATAAAAGAAGACGTGAGGCTCAAAGGTTAATGTTCAGCTCCAGATGGTTACATCAGTGTGTTAACGTTACCTTCAGTCCCTCTACAGGAGGAGCTGGGTCCTTCAGCGTCTCTGAATGAGACGACTCCGCCTCGGCCTCGCTCAGCTTCACCACGCTGGGCTCAGGCTCCGACTCGCCCTCCTGCAGGCGGCAGCAGAGTTACATCACAAACAGACGAGTGGAAAATATAAAGAACAACCAAACTGGGACATCTGGGACACTTTTCTGCTAACAGGAACTGTCTAAGAGKAGCTTCTGATGGAGAGAGCTGCCTGTACGGCAAGCCGAGCGTCATAAATTACACACCTGAAAGCGTTCTATGGAAAGATAGACTTAACAAAATAAGTCAAAAAGAAAAAATAAGTAGGTCCTCTGGATGGGTTCTTCTTTAGTGAAACGTTTCGTCTCTCCTCCAAGAGACTTCTTCAGTCTGATGGGACTTTGAGCCCCGCCTGCATTCACTACATACACATGACACGACACCTAAGAACCACAGCATCCAAACCAATAAGTCAGGTGATGGGACACATGACCCTC